GGGGTCCTCTCCCATCACACCCAGGTGCCAGGGGTCCTCCCCCAGTCCCACCCAGGTGCCAGGGGTCCTCTCCCAGTCCCACCCAGGTGCCAGGGGTCCTCTCCCAGTCCCACCCAGGTGCCAGGGGTCCTCTCCCAGTCCCACCCAGGTGACAGGGGTCCTCCCCCAGTCCCACCCAGGTGCCAGGGATTCTCCCCCATTCCCACCCAGGTGCCGGGGGTCCTCCCCCAGTCCCACCCAGGTCTGGGGGTCCTCCCCGAGTCCCACCCAGGCAGACCTGGGCTGCGTGGTGCTCAGCACAGGTGGACAGCAGCAGCCAACAACCACTGCCTGGCGTCCCCACCCGGCCTTCCAGCACTGCCTGTAGGGACACGGACTCTGTAACAGGCCAGTCAGCCTCTGCTCACCTTTGCCTTCCTGTCCCAATGTGCTGCTGTGGGTGCTGTCCCCAAGGACCACTGTGACCATGGTGGAAAACACCAGGTGTGAGATCTGAACTGACGTGGGCACCCTCAGCGTCATGGGCATGGTGGGGTGTTGGTGGTGAGGGTGGTCAGGGGTCGCAGTGCTGATAGTCCCTGGGCCTGCAGTGGACTGTGGCCGTGGGTGTTGAATCCTGGTCTCCTATCATCTCGCAGGGGTGCAGCACCAGGGGCACCCACACCATGGAGCCACCCCTTCCCATGCCGTGCGTTTTGGGGCCCGGCCTGCTGGACAGAGGTCACAGAGTGGCAGGATGGTGGGCAGATGCCCTCTGCAGCAGCTCTGTGGCCAGCTGTCCCCAGGCTCAGAAGCCTCGGTGCACTAGTTCATGACAACACACTGCATGTAACTAACCACACGCCAACACGGCCGCCTTGGCCAAGAAGAACTGCACTGAGGAGGTGTGGGACCCCTGTGTCCACCGACCCTGCAGATGATACTGGACCACAGGCCTCAGTCCTGAGAAAGGGATGGCTCTCTTTGAATGGCAAGACTAAGAAGTTTTTTGACCAGGGTCCCTCCAGGAGCTCCCCACCATTCCAAACTATGCATCCCGGCTGGCAGGGTCCCTCCGGGAGCTCGTGCCTGGGGCGCACTGGAGCAGCCACAGGCTGCAGGGCCCATGAGGGCCCCAGGGAAGATACAATAGGGAAAGCAGTGCATCTGTCTCAAAATGCCTAGAAAGTGCTTAGGAAGAGATGTGCTGCCCTGCACAGAGCCTCTGAATTCCAAGCCATGGCCCATAGGTGGACACACTGGCCAGGTTCGGTTTGCAGGGAGACTTGCTAGGAAACACTTCACGCACCTGGTAAAAGCTGAAGAGATTTAGGGTCTTAAAGTACAAGTTCCAGAAGAAACCTCCCCCCGTTCAGCTCTCCTCCATGGCAAAGCCCACACAGAACGTTAGGAAGGAAGGCAGAACCATATGGAAGCGCTCCAGTGCTCCCTGGGGGAAGTGGGGTGCTCAGGACACGTCTTCTCACTCCTCTGTGGCCACAGGAGTTCAGGCCGTGAGCTGCTCACTAGAGTGATCTGGAGACTGGGTCAGAGCTAGGAATGGCTCTGAACTTGGGTTCAGGAGGCCCTTAGACCCCGGCCCTCCCAACCCCAGAGCCCAGCTTCCCGCTGCCTGGCTTATCCTGAGCCAGGTTCCCAGGACCCTTCTTGGTCCTCCAGGACCATGCAGTGGCCTCAGCTGGACTCCTCTGGTCCTCCACAATCTGTGGTCTGCAGAGGGCACCATGACACCTGCAGGATCACATCAGACTGTGTCCCTTCTCCACATCTTCCAAGGCCCCTCCTTTCCTCAGATGAGTCCAAACTCCTGTCTGTGACTCATACGGCCCTGGACATCTTAAGAGGTCCCCTGTGTCTACAGGTCACTTCCTGTGTTCTCTGTCCCTGTGGTCTAGACTACTTGCTTCCTGACAGCAGCTGGGGAAGCCCAGTGTGCCTCAGAACCAGCGCCTGGGTGCCTGTGGCTCCTGCTGTCCATGGCAGTGTCCAGGCTCCTCACAGGGCCTCTCCCTGCATCTGGTCTCACCACATGAGGAGACTGCTTGCTGCCCAGGGCCACGCCTCCCTGCCATGGGGTCTGGAGCAGCGGGGTCCTGGCCGTGGTTGGCAGGGGCAGCCTGGCTCTGTGTGTGAGGAGAACCCAACGTGTGCTGGTTGCTGGACGCAGCACCCGTCCCCCCCCAGGGAGACCGTCTCCAGTGTCCCTTGAGTCACCCCCATGGAGTCCAGCCTGGCCTCACTGTCTCTACTCTCTGCTTCTGTCTCTCCAATGTGGATGTGATCATCGGTCTTCCAGTTTGTCGAGGGGCACGGACACCATTCCCCTGCCCTCTGCCTGGCATGGCCCTCATCAGTCTCTTCTGCTGGGCTGTCCAGCAGCGAGCCTTGCTGGGTCTTCTCTCTGTGGGGAGAGTGTGCCCAGTGAGGGATGCTCGCGCTGTCCAGCGTGGTTAGGCTGAGGGGCTCCATGATGGTACCTCCCAGTTGCAGGCTTTGTTACCAGGACGTTGGGGGGGGGGGACTCGCAGGAGGGAAAGACCCCAAAGTGGGTGGCTGTCTCTTGGTCCTGAACTCAGGGTGGGGAGAAGGTCTCCGACATGGCAGGACAGAGAGAGGTGTAGGGAATTCCACAGGGGGTGAGCAACAGACGGGTCCTGATGTGGTATTTGTGTGTAAAATACGTTGTGGAATAGTGATCTGTAGATACATGGAATTGCTGGATTGCTCCTGGATTCTGGGAACCTATGTGAGGTCAGCTCTGGGATTTGCTAGTGCTGACTCCTGTCCGACTGATGTCCATGTGCAGGGCTGCTCCTGGCAGAAGCTGCAGAGCTTCTCCTGCCCCCTGTGGCTGGCCACAGAGCTGAGGCTGCAGAGTGGACAGTGCCAAGAAGCCTCCAGGGTTAGAGCTCCAGTACTGGAGGGCTTGGTGTGCGCCCTGACCGTGTCGAGCCTGGCTTGCCTTGCGTAAGACGGGACAGCAAGCTGCGTCCATCAGGGAAATACTGTATGGCTCTTAGTCTCACGTAATTCAGTAAATGTCAAGTATTGCAATCAATAATATCTGATTCAAAATCAAAAGCTGCATATTTCAAAGTGCCTGTAAGTGTTAAATTAGCTCATTAATTTTAAAGTAGCCCAACATTAGACTTTCTAAGCACTGAGCCATTTCTTTCCATTGTAGAGAAAAACCTGTTGGCCTTTGTGAGTTTTGTAATGTGCCTTTATTTTTCAGGTTGTCCTGGTGCCAAAAAGCATGAATTTTTGACAAGCGTCTTGGATGCACTGTCCACAGACATGGTCCATGCTGTCTCTGACCCCTCCTCCCCATCGGGCAGGTATGCTGTGCTTCCCGCAGAAGCCCTGGAAGTTCACGGAAGAGCAGATCCTAAGGGTGGGACACTGGAAGTACTCGGGCCTGAAGGAAGAGCCTCCACGGCCAGGAGGCTGGCTGCTCGGCAGGTTTCTCTGTGCTACCATTTCCCAGGGTCCCTGTGGTGAGGAGGGCCAGGGACAGGAGAACACTTCTGAATGCCCTCTGTCATGAGACCCCATTTTACAGTTATATATCAGACTTTAAATCCTTGGAATGAAATGTTTCACTTAAAACTCTCAAAATGTGATTTACTTATTGTAGAACATGCCGCTCATGAAACTCGCCACCTTCCCAGTTTCCAAGTGTGGTTGAGTGGCAGCAGGTACGGTCACTCCTCTCTGACCCCAAAGGTCCCCTTGGTATGCTGCACACTTGCCTGGAGCTGAGCTGCATTGCCTCCCTGTTCCCTGTGGGAACAAGTGCCTTTCTGTACCCCACGGATGACACAGGAGGATGGAACCCCCCCGTGGGCCGTTGCCACGGCAACCCAAGCATTCTGTATTCTTCCTGACAATTAGCAATATATATTTGTGCATTTTAAGGACATTTTTTCCAGTGGAGAGTCTAACATTTTATTTCCATGGAGTGTCGGTCTTCTCCCCCCGTCCCCCAGCCCTCAATCTTCTCATCCATCCAGGGTGAGGTAAGCGTTTGGTCTCTTAGCAAAAGGACCTTCATCTTCTCTCTGCTGTAGACAACTCAGGGGGAAGGCAATGCTAACAGAAAAGGTCATGACTGGGTAGAAAATTGAATTTAATTAAGCAAAACGTCACGGGGATTGCAGCTTTTTACTTCTCATAATCTTGTAGGGAGGGTTCTCTCATGGGAGCTGCAGCTGAAGGCCATGGGTGACTTGCTCTCCGAGAAGCTCCTCCGAGAGTTGGGAAACTGGTCAACAGTGTCAGCCAGCCAGACTGCCCACTGTTCACACTCAGGGGCAAAGCTTACCACACCCAGGCAGGGTGGCAGGCAGAGCCTGTGGGAGGGCCCAACGTGGGGTATGCACAACCTCCTCCCTTGTGAGCAGGTGCAGCCTACAGGTCTGACTCGAAGCCAGGCTTCCAAGGCAGCTTTTACCTGTTTGTTCCTTAAAACAGCAAACTGCTTTTTAATCCCAGGGAAATTGTCTAGTTGTAGCCTTAAAGAGCTTTGAATTGGATCTCTCAATACACCTGCTATATGTATGTGTGTTGCATTATATGATTCAAAAATGATCACATTGAGGGGCCCAGAGGACCTAGGAGGGTGTGGTGGCTGTTCCTACCTGCCCATCAAGGTGCCCAGGCCCAGTCCTGGAGCTTTTCTCCCCAAGTACAAGGCCAGGTGCATGCCTGACGTGCACATGATCACTGTGGCCTCTGTGACTCCAAGCCAACCTGGAGAATTTCCTGATTAGCTTTTCCTCAGTCTTGTCCATCGGTCTCTGATGTGAGTGCACACAGAGGGGGACACTGGAGGGCTGGGTGGAGACAGTAGGAGCTTCTGCATCCTGACAGGTTGTCTTCCTTCCAGACTCTCAGAACCAGACCCCAGCCACACCCTGGAGGAGCGGGTGGTGCACTGGTACTTCAAGCTGCTCGATAAAAACTCCAGCGGGGACATTGGCAAGAAGGAAATCAAACCCTTCAAGAGATTCCTTCGGAAAAAATCCAAGCCCAAAAAGTGTGTGAAGAAGTTCGTGGAGTACTGTGACGTGAATAACAACAAGGCCATCTCTGTGCAGGAGCTGACGGGCTGCCTGGGCGCCACCAAGGAGGAGGGCAAAGCCAGCACGCGGAAGCGCCACAGTGAGCCTTGCCCATGTCCCCACGCCCGGTGTCAGAGTGTGATGTCCTGTTCATTTCCTGTGTGTGCTGCCAGTGTGAAGCCTGGAGGGTGATGTTATGTGTTGGAGCATGATGTCTATGTGTGTTCACTTCCTGTGTGTCAGAGCATGATGTCTGTGTCCATTTCCTGTCTGCATTTCCTGTATGTGTTCACTTCCTATGTGCACTTCCTGTGTATCAGAGCATGATGTCTGTGTTCACTTCCTGTCTGAACTTCCTGTGTTCACTTCCTAGTGTCTACACTCCCTGTGTGTCAGAGTGTGATGTCTGTGTTCACTTCCTGTCTGCACTTCCTGTGTGTTGGATCTTGATGTCTGTGTTTATTTCCTGTCTACACTCCTTATGTGTTAGAGGATGATGTCTGTGTGTGTGTTCACTTCCTGTCTGCTTCCTGTGTGTTGGAGATGATGTCTGTGTTCACTTCCTAGTGTCTGCACTCCCTGTGTGTCAGAATGTGATGTCTATGTTCACTTCCTGTCTGCACTTTCTGTGTGTCAGAGTGTGATGTCT